TGGCTGAATAATATCTCATTGTATATATGTGCCACCACTTCTTTATGCATTCATCTATTGATGGGCATGTAGGTTGTCTTCATATCTTGGATATCGTAAATAGTGCTACAACAACATGGGTGTGCAGATATCTTTTCAAGCTAGTATTTCATTTCCTTCAGATAAATACCCAGAATTGGGATTGCTGGATCACGTAGTTCTATTTTTCATGTTTTGAGGAAACTCCATATTGTTTCCCATAGTAGCTGCACCAATTTACATTCCCACCAACAGTGCACAAAAGTTTTCTTTTCTCCACACCCTTAACAACACTTGTTATTTCTCATCTTTTCGGTAATAACCATTTTAACAGATGTGGGGTGATATCTCTTTGTGTATTTGATTTGCATTTCCCTGATGAGTAGTGATGTTGAGCCTCTTTTTGTGTACCTTTTAGACATCTGTTATGTTTTCTTTGGAAAAAAATGTTTATTCGGATCCTCTGCCCACTTTTAAATCAGATTGTTGTTGTTTTTCTTTTGAGTTGTATGAGTTCTTTATATACTTTGGATATTAATCCCTTATCAGAAAGAGATTTCTAATAGAAGTATTAGATTGAAATGACAAACTAAAAATGAAGAAAAAAATTAAAGACTTCATAATGTATTTCCTCCAAAAGTCTTCACCAGTCTCACCTATTTCCAGGACACTTAAGACTAAGTCTCATGAATCTCGTAAGTACAGAAAAATTTTAAAAACTCTTTCTTATGCCTTTCACATAAGACAAGACCCCAACTAACAACAAAAAATTCTTTCCAAAAGTTTATTTTTAAAATAGTTGTCTAACAGTCTATTTTTATATCTTGGGTATTTGTGAATTGGATATTTGTCACTCAGGGAGTACCACAATGTCAAAATCAGGTAAGAAAATTTAGTAAGGTGATTTAGGATATGGATTAAAATCTGTCAGTTCTTATTCTATCATATTTTTATCCTTAAGATTATGCCTTTGCAGACTAAGATGTGCCAGAAAGAGAGCATTTGAATAGAAATATCAGCATCAATTTAATCCTTATATAATTGAGAAGAGAGCCCGGCCCAAGACACTTAATAAATGAGGCAGGCCCTTCATGTGCTCCTAGAATTTTGCACTGGGTTTTGTTCTGCCTTTTGGAAAGTCTTTTGATCTAAAACATGAGCACTTTGCGTGGGCATATAGAGTGTTTTACTGAGAAAGGAGACTAAGTTGTTAATCTTGCCTTTGATGTTTCTTGTGTGTTCCTGTATTTTTCTGCTCTCAGTAATAATTTCTTAGAAGTCATAAAGGATTGTTAAGTGCCTAATCTTAAAATGTTGTGTTTTTTTCAAATTCTGTTCTGTTTTCTTGGGGAGTTTACATCTCCAAGAAGTTCCCTTCCCTGCTGTAGCCCCCTAACCCAGATACAGACACAGGTCCTGGGTTGACTCTTCTTAACCGGCCAGCTGTGTAATTTTGGGAAAATCTCTTCACCTCTTGGACCTCAACTTTCTTATCTATAAAATGAGAATTTTGGCCTTGATGTCCTCTCAGGGTGTTCCTTCTTAAATGTTCATTGACATAAAGCAGGTGTTCTAAAATACTCATTGAGGAAATAAGTATTAACCTATTTTTTTTACAGCATATTTGGCCAGAATTATGAGGGTCTCTTAGACATCAATAGAATGAGAGTACTAGCTGGGGAACAGGGCCTGTTAAAGGCCTCCTGGCTGGTAATACCCAACATGTGGTGTCATGTATTCAAGTGTAAGATCATTAACAGGATGTGCTAAAGCCTTGTGAAGACTAGTGACCAAATTTTGACACTGTGATTGTTTTGAAGTTTTTAGCTCTTACTTATATGGACATCAACACGACTAGGAAGGGGTTGAATAGATATGTTCTCTGTACCCAGCTATTCTTACACTACTGTGGCAAAGAAGCACAGCAGACCACTGATAACTGAGAGAGGCATACAATGTTGGCTGTACACTGTTGACAGTCTTCAGGCAACTGCAGATTCTCCTGCTCTCATCAATTATAGAAGAGGTTTGACTGTCAAATTTCCCAGTACTTTGGAAATTTCTATATTCTTGGGTCACCTATTATAATTATTGCATAGAAAAAATTTGGATGAATAAACATATTTATAGTGGTTACTCCAAAGGAATGAGATTACTGGAGAGAGACTTCCATTTTTACTTTACATTCTTTGAAATTATTTGTATTACTTTTGTTATTTAAACAAATGAAGGTATTATATTAACAATCCCAAACTGAAAATAGGCTTGTTATCCAGACATTTCAGTAAATGGGTATGATTCTCAGGCTGGAAAAAAAAATATTCTCTACTTTCTAAAGTAAATTTTACCAATATGGCTTTCATTCACTTCTCTCCCTTCACCAGCATTTCATTATTTCATTGTATCCATAGTGTTATATATGCTTAATTTGTCAAGGGATAGACTTTATTCTTGACACATAGTAGGCGATTATTAAATGTTTGCTGATTTTAATACATTAAATAAACCTTAGCCCTATTCTATTTTGCAATCAGAATAACTTTTTAAATAGGATACCAGTTTTTAAAAAATAAAATAAAATAGGATACCAGTTTGGGCTCTGAAACAGTTTTTTTTCCTCATAATAACATAAGAGATTTTAGGATATTTCTAAAAGTTTTGTTTAAAAATTCCCTAGTTGCCCTGGCTGGTGTGGCTCAGTTGGTTGGAGTGTCCTCCCATACACCAAAAGGCTGCAGGTCCAATTCCTGGCCAGGATACATACCTAGGTCAGGACAGCATGTCCTTGGTTGAGGATTTAAAAAAATGAAAAGCTTTGCTTATAAAAAAAATTCCCTAGTTATCTTCAGGGAATAGCTTATATAATAAAGAATCTGATTTAACAAGTAAGTTGTATACAATATTTTAATGTCGAAAGGAATTATCAAATAAAGCACTTTATGTTGGCAAAGATCTTTCATATGACTTAATTAGCTTTTCCTTAAAACTACTCTGGTATCCCCTTTGAGTTCAAAGGGTGTGATTAAATGAATGAATGGATGTATAAATAAATCCTTTGCTTAAGATCCCAAAGGTAAGGAATGGCAAAGACTGGTTAGTGTTCATTGACCCTGTCATCCCAAACTACTGTTTGGTCCCCTGAGCCCTGTTGTTTCCCCAGAACAAAGAGGCTCTGCAATGCTTTTTTTCTGCAGCAGTAAGTAAGTGGGTCATTTGTTATAGTAAATACTTGTCAGGAAATGATGCAAGAGTAAGCCAGATAAGAGATATCTGCTTACTACAGGTACAGTTTAGCATCTTGGTTTATAACCAAATAAATGTTATTATCATCATTAGTGAGACTTTGCAGTCTTTAAATGTTCAAACTCACATTTCTTGTCCAGTGCCAAAAGATAATTTCCCTTTGTTATATGCCTGGGAAAAGGGAGAAGGGGGAGAAAGAGAGAGAGGGACAGAGATCCAGTCAATGTTTTACTTCTTTCAATAGAGAAAACTTCTTTTGTAACTCAATTGGAATCAGTGGTTGGTTAGTTAATCATATAAAATGATAACTATATACCTTAAACATTTTTTTTCATTTATAATGTATATAACTTGCCCAGCATGGCGTGGCTCAGCGGTTGAGCATTGACCTGTGATCCAGGAGACTGAGGTTTGATTCTGGGTCAGGGCACATTGTAGGGGTTGCAGCCTCGATCCCCAGCAGGGGGCGTGCAGGAGGCAGCTGATTAATGCCGCATCATTCATGTTTCTGTCTCTCTCTCCCTCTCACTTCCTCTCTCTGAAATCAATAAAAATATATTAAAAAATAAAACCAAAAAACATCAAGGTTGAAGTGGACAGACTCTTGATAAATTTCCTAAAATATGAAGGGTTCATGGACCTTATCTAAGATTTTAGTCGAACACTTACAAATGGTCATTTCAAAGCTTTAGCCTCATGTTTTTGCTAATGGAACATCATTAAAAGATTTATTCTTCAGCAGTAGGCCTATTTCTTATTCTGACAGACTCTAGAGGACATAATTTGAAAAAGAGTGGGGGTAGTGGTTGCAAATTCAAGTGTCTCCAGGGCCTAGGAAGACCCTGTAAATGAGTGACATGCCTAGAGAGGCAACACAGAGTGATGATGATTGAAACCCATGGGGAGTATTTATTTATTTATTATTAATCCTCACCCAAGGATATTTTTTCCATTAATTTTAAAAAAATTTTTATTTTTTAGAGAGATTGGAAGGGATGGAAGGGGGGAGAGAGAGAGAAGCATTGATGTGAGAGAGACACATCAATTAGTTGCCTCCCACACGCACCCCAACCAGGGCCAGGGATCGAACCTGCAACCCAGGTATGTGCCATTGACCAGGAATCAAACCCAGGACCCGTCAGTGCATGGGCCGACAGACTAACCACTGAGCAACACCAGCCAGGGCCATGGGGAGTATTTAGGTGCCCCATCTGAAACGTGGGTCATTGCCATGTAGAAATATGGGCCCAGTATAGTTTAGTCTGCTGATTACTTACAAAAGAAGGAATAAATTTAGATTTTTAGCTTGCCAGTTTAATTAAAAAAAGAAATATTTGTGAGCCAACACTGTATTAACAAAGTACTTTGTCTTTGAGAATTCGTATTTCTGCTTAGGAGGGGTGTGTGTGCGCGCGCGCGCGTGTGTGTGTGTGTGTGTGTGTGATTGAATAGTTACCTACTAGACAACTGAAAGAAAAAAGAGGTGTTTTTGCAACTCACACTTGAGGGAAAAGTTAGAGGACCTGACTGCAGTGCCAGTGTCCTCCAAAACTGTTCCTTGCAGAGTGCTAATGGACATGACAAACTGTCTTGTTGGATTCACTTATTCTTGACTATACAGTTCCAAATACTGGATACGTATTGTGTTGGAAAAGTTGTAGATCACAGAGTACATCCATCTGTGTTATGTACGGAAGGGGCTTCAGCAAAGGCTGAACTTGTAGCATTTTCCATTGCAGATACAATGAAGGCGATGTTCTTACAGGACAACACGGACCCCAGGACAGAGTTAAGAACTATAGGCAACCATGAAAGACCTGCTGTGAATGGTTTGACTTCTTGCCTATTTTTCTTCTGAACTGTGGAAATTGTTAATATTAGCATAGTATTAAGATTTTTTCACCAACATATATAATTCTCTTTATCTCATCCCTTCAGTTAAAGTCTGACCGAGCAATATATTGACTAGGTGTCTGCTTTCAGTTACCTTCTGTGTGTAAGAAAGGGGCTCAGTGTGTCACAGGCTACAGCATGCTGCATTCGAGAATTTCTCTCATGTCCTCTCTGTACCTGGTTCCCATAAACAAGAAGTCCTGTGCTCACAGGTCCCTCAGAGGTTTCCGTGAAATGTCTCTTTTACATAGTGTTTTTTGCCTCACTGCCCAGGAGCTAACACTTATCCTCAGAAGGCACTGGGCAGAAGCAGGGTCCTGAGGAACACACTCAGAATTGCCTTCCCTTTCATGCTAGTCCTGTGCCCTTCAAATAGTCTCACCTCCCTTAGGGTAAACTGCTCCTCAGAGCCAGGCAAAGATGCCGAGCAGGTCCTCTGTATGCCTACCACCTGTCTGTGTCTCAGGGTGCACACAGCTTGGGTTAGGCAGAGCCTTCCTACTACATAGCTGCCACTTCCTGCATCTGGTCTGTCAGCTGTTTAAATGGTGAGTGTGGTAACACTGCAGAAGTCCCCACCCCCTGGTCAGCCACCACACAAGGCATCCAGCCTCTGTGCAGAGCAGAGCCTTGGGAACCAGCGCACCTTACTCTCCCTAACCTTCCCTAGCCTTCCTTCTGGAGCACGTTCAGGAAAGCAATGCCTTCTTGTGTTTTCTTGAAGAATTACATGGTTTTATTGTTGAAATCAATTTCTAGGCCCAAGATGGAGCTGCTCCAGCCAGGGGTGCCACATCAGCAAACTGAAACTTAGATCAATTTCCTGTCCCAGTAAATGCTCAGCTTGACCAGAAATGCAGTATGTATATCCAGTCAGCTAATCCCCAAACTCTTAAGCCAACTCTGGGCCTTCTCACCCCAAATAAGGTTGACTATGTGGCACCAGTCCATCGGATATTTTCTGTTTTCCTTTCCTTGTTCTTTCCCCTATAGAAGCTACCTACCTTCTGTCCCACTTTGCAGTTCTTCACAGGAGGCTGTCCGCTTCATGTAGTGTTAAAGTTTTTGTTTGCATCACCTCAACTGTCTTCTTTCATCACTCCTTAAGATACCATTTATGATGCTTCAAAGGAAAGGTAAGCAATTACAGCACATATCTAGATTTATTATAGCTGAATAGAAGTTTTAGTTAGTAACCCTTCTATCCTTATGTCTGTGCCCAGCCATTATTATTTTCCTTTGACCTATAGAGAAATCCATTAATTTTCCTGAACACAATCTATTTTTCCTGATGAATCAAGATGCCAGGTACTCCCTCTCCTTGGGTGTATCCATTTGACCTTTTTCTCTCTCTTTTTGCTTGGGTTAGAGCTCTGTCATCTCTCCCAGAGGAGCCCCCCAAAAGCAACTTTTATTTATCTATTAAAAATTAACCCTTAATAGTTACCTATGTTTGTTTAGCATGAATTAACAAGATGCCACTGGAGCTGAGGAACTGCAGTGGATAATCACGTGCCACACAAATGTTGTCGTTTCTATTTTCAGGTGGAAAAACTGAGACACCAATGAGGACACAACTCGGCTGCAGTTAGCCATGCGGAGAGCCTCATGTGAACCACTGGCTTCTTGATTATTAAAGGCCTCTCCAGTCGGAATCTCTTTTCTTCCCATCTCTCCCCTCATTCCCTCCAGCACTACAACTATTCTGCCTCTACCGCTGAAGACTATAGGAAGAAGAAAAATGCTAACTCAGTAGCAACAGTAGGAAAACTGTTAAATGGAATAAAATAATTTAGGCACAGATGAGATGCTACTATACTATACATGTGTGAATATTGGAGTATTTGGGCTCAATATTTTTCAGATAAAAATGACTAAAAAACAATTTCCAACATTCCCTAAAAACCTTAGGCTCATTTCCTGAAGCAGTAAAAAGGAGCCATCTGGAGACAGAGAAAGAGTTTATTAACCCCTAAGCTCCTGGAGCTTGGTGAGGAAATCAGCCTCAGTTTGAGCTAATCTAAAAGAAAGACAGGACCTGAAAGGAGTACGGCAGCAAAATGTCAAGTTCGCTTCTAAGGCTACAAAACAAGAAAGCCACACAGTACAAAAGGGAGGAAGAGAGTCACATCCTTTCAGTTACTAACAGCCTCCTCTTGTGAGTTGTGCACACTCTTCTATAAAAATAAAACGTCTTCCTGGGAATTGCTTTGTTGATATTTTTACTTTTTCTCAGATCTATAAATTTTCTTAAAATGCATTTCCATATTTTAGATAAATATTTCAAACAAGTTTTACTCCTGCCTGCATTAGAGATAAAAGGAATTAACTCTAATTAGTGTTTTGTTGGTGCTTGTGATTTACACGCTTGGCTTTGAAGATCAAAAATAATGTACACGTGCATCCATGTTATTTACTTTTTCCCACACACTCTGATATTATCTGGCCATTTTCAAATTTAAAACATTGGCATCAAAAATATTGAGTCACGGGTGTTTGTACATAAACAGCAGAGTTTCAGGGTGGCAATAAAGCAGGAGGAGAATGCAGTGATGAAATGCACTGGCTCTGCTGTTAGGCTCGAACACTACTCGTGAGGCCTTGGGCAAGTCACTAACATTTTGGATCCTCATTTTCTTCATCTATAAAATGGGAATTAAGCAAGATATTATATATATAGTGTTTTCACAGCGTGAGCATGAAATATGTGTTCACATTAACAGTGATTAAGAACATAGTCTCTGTAGCCAGGTACCCTGGGTTCAAATCCCAACTCAACTACTTATTAATTGGGCAAATTACTTTTCCGTACCTCTGTTCCTTCATCTGTAAAATGAGAATAATTATAGTGCTTATATCATAGGGTTATTGTAAATATTTAAAAGGTAAAATATGTTAACACCTTAGAAAAGCACCTGGCATACTGTATGTGTTCAATAAACATTAGCTATTATTACTCTAAATTTGTGCTGACCACTAAGGTAGCCAAATATGGCTATTGAGCCTTTGAAACATAGTTAGTCTTAATCTTAATGTGCTTTAAGTGTAAAATACATATCAAATTTCAAAACTTACTATAAAAAAAAAAAGAATGTAAGATATCTCAATGATTTTTATATTACATGTTTAACTAATATATTGGGTTAAATAAATTATTAACATTTTACTTATTTCTTTTTGCTTTTTAATGTAGCGCCTAGAAAACTTAAAAGTACATATGTGACTTGCATTTTATTTGTATTGAACAGAACTATTTATAGAATATAAAAATTTTAAAGCAAGAAATTCATCAAAAAAACCCTTACCATTTAGTTTAGTTAAAAATCTAGAATATTTTTGCTATGCTTTTCATCATAAATAAAGAAACACTGCAGAAAAGCAAGGGAATCACAAAGTAGAACTGCCAAAGAAGTTATGCAATTTTAGGTTGCATTGACTTTCCCAGGAAAAAATAACTATTCCTTTCTCCTCTGGAGTGTATTTGTTTGTTTTTGTTTGTTTGTTTGTTTTAGGATTACAATTTAAGAGAGATATAGACAATCTAGAGCATCCTTGGTGAGGCTTCTTTGAAGATGAGAAGTTCTCATCACCACCCACAGAAGGGAACAACTGTGGGTGAGTTAGGACGTGAACATACACAGCCAAGTGAGAAGACTTAAGAGGTGTAATAGCTGTTGTTATTACCAGGAAGTTTGCCATGTGAAAATGAAACTAACCCAAAGGTTCAATTAGGTCCAAGTTACAGAGAAAATGATTCCAGCTTTAATACTACATCAACAATTTTAACAATTAGAGTTGTCCAAAAATGGAAGGAAGGAACTACCTTACAGGATATTCAAGTTTGTTGCAAGCTCTTTAAGCAGGGAATTATACAGAGGGTTATACATCAGGTAGATAGAAGACCTTCAAAAGCTTTTCAGACTCTGAAATTCCATGATTAAGGCTTTATTTACAACTAATTCTGGGAGACAGCTGCCAATGCATGCATTATGACCAGAATAACTAGAGTTCCATGATTTTAATCAGTGTTTTGTTTGTTTAAAAGATATAATAATTCACTTGCATGAGTTCAAGAAAACAGGGGTTATTGTAGGAAAATATATGGTAGATAGGGATCTCACAAGACACAGGGAGAGCAACAGTGATACAGCAGACTTGACGGAAACTGTAACCGGAACTGAAGCAGCGAGCGGTGCTATCTTCCTCTCAGAGGCTGGTCCCTCTCCTTCTTCATGTATCTGCTGTTCTCGGCATTCTCGCTCCATTCTATTCTAGATACTCACTGGCTTCGTGTAACTCTGCTCAGGCATCACTTCTGCTTGCTAATTAATTCCAGCTTGCCTTTCAAGGCTTCTCTAACCTTGAATCTACTCCATAACCTTATAGCATGAGTCCTCCCACAACAAAGAAAAATGTTGTCTTTCTTTTTTTGTTCCAGTCTTTTCATTTTTCCAATCTCAGTTTCATGAGAAGAACAACTGGCTCAGCTTTTCTTTTCCATCCCAGATCACTGGCTACAGAATGGATGGACTTTCCTTGGGTCAGATGGCTTCCACTGGTCAAATAGCTGGGGCTGGGGAATGTTACTTATGTAGAAAAAGGAAGTTTTCTACCCGAAGCAGATGTGGGTAGGGCAGGAAATTATTGGTATTTCTAGTATCTACCCTGAAAGTTGGAGGTCATGGAGGTTATACCTAGAAATTTGGGGATCTACTTAAGTTATTCTCTGTATAGGAAGAGAGAGCCTATTCAAAAGGTTCTGGTTTGGAACTAATGATAAAAATACAAATTTTGCTCTAGAATGTGTTCTGGGATCCTGCTACTCAGAGTGTAGCCCATGGACCAGCAGCTTCAACATCACTTAGGAGCCTGTTAGAAATCAGAATCTAAGGCTCCACCCCAGACCTACTAAATTAGAATCTACATTTTAATGAGATTCCCAGGTGATTTGCCTTCATAATGAAGTTTGAGAAGTGTAACTCTAGGATGAATTGATTTGGTTTAGTCCTTCTGAAAGTTACCAAAGGCTTTTCTTTTACCAGCAGACTTCCAGTAGTGTGCTATAGCCGTGTGAGAACCAAGGGTTAGGTTGTCAGAAATTTTGTGAGTTGATTTCATGTTTGGTAGCTTAAAATTGGCTATTGTGTGGTTATTTAAACCATGGAGATGGCCAAATGTTACAAATTCATTTCTTTTGTACTGGGAGCCAGTTGTTAAACATTTACCAGCAATTCCACTGGACAGTTCTAAATCTTTCAATTCAACGTGGAATTAAAAGAATCTCCTAGGGATTTTTGAACAGAGAAGCTCCCATATATGGGGGAGGGAGGACAGACAAAATGAGTTCCAATTCTTTTCAAACTTTCAACTTTATGACAAAGAAATCATTATTCTGGATAGTCATTTCTTTATGGAAAAAATAATCTGAGTCTGAAGTAAGCCCAAGGAAGGAAGGGAATTTAGGAGCTGGTAATACTTAAAATCCAGATAGGCAGGCAGGTAAACACCTGAAATTTGCCCAGCTGACAGCTCGATAGTTTTGGAGCTGAAATTCAGGTGTGGAGTAGCAGTTTCTGTAGAGAGAAGAAAATAAAAGTTGGTAGATTCTGGTCCTAAAGACACCATGTGGGAAAGTTCATGTTTTTATTGCCTATATTATGTGGAGCATTAAATTGTTAAGCAAAACAA